GGGGGGTACTTCTGTATGATGGCTATATGGGGGAAGTGGGTTGCTTTTTCATTGAGAATAACATCAAGCGATTCAACACAATATTATTGTATTAAACGTTCATTTATACGAGTAAATTGAGGTTAATCTTACCAATCTCTAAAATGACATTTCCGCATGTCCGTCATTGTGTCTGTTCGTCCCGGGTTAAAATTTAAACTATTGGCGAAACGAAATTGTTGTCAAATAGATTGATAATTATCACGCGATTACTCGGATAAAAAGATCAATTTTGAGGATAACAGGTATCTTTGATTGATTTATATAGCGCTTGTATACACGCAAAATAGTTATTAATTGCAAACCTACTGTTCTTTGATGCAGTGTCGTAATGATGGTTAATTCCTGATACGATTTGCAATTTAGATGTTATCAGGGCTGACCGACATTTTTGTAATATTCCAAACCTTTCTCCGATATTTTCGTAATTATGCATCAATAGGGTCTAAGGGGGATACGGGATGGTGTGTATGTATTTATAAGGTATGTATGCATGCTTGAATCACATTCTTTATGTAATATGACCATGTTTTCAGAGTTTAAATAGTTCCGCTTGTCGAAACCTGCGGAACGATTAAATTAACGCATCAAGGGCAAAATGATCATGGAGGTTAGACCTAGCCGGGGCCATAAGACATGTCAGATAAGAAACGAGGCCCAGGCTAGGTCTAATGTTGTTGGACTAGGGAATATCGTGATGCAAAAACAGTGTTCAACTACCACAGGTGTATCACAGGAGGAGTAATCATGATTAATTTGTAAATTGCTACATTGTAGCAATGGTATGAGTATGATGTCACAATACACTGGGGCCTAACTGGCGTAAAGGGGTAGAAAAGGGCAAATTTTGCACATGGGGACCACATTTGACTCAAAATATTTGCATTTATCAACCTACATTTCAGTACATTCTGTGTAATACTTGAAATGCATTGCTATAATGATTTACAAAATGAAATAATCTCGGGGAATTTGCTTCTAAAATTTTTGAATAAGATCCCTGAAGTTGATGACCCAATTTTAGGTCATTTTGGCGGGCATTTTGGCCCGTTTTTAGAGACTCAGCCCTCACCTATTTCCCCCAATATGGCTAGATTTTGTAGAAAACGTGTTAAAAGTTTGAAATGCAGCTGTTTTGAGCCTGAAATAACTCAATTGTTTGAATGCTGAATGAGCAAAAATTATGATAGTAAAATTTTCCCATTTTTGGATATTAAGGTGTTATTACGGTAAACACCACTTCCGGGTAGGTCGTGTTTTTTAATACTTTAAAAACGAAGCCATGCCAACTTCAATGGTGTGTATAGTAGGTTTAAGTATATGCATTGTGGCCATTTGAGGTATATATGTAAAGCTGAGGCCAAGTACTTTTTAAATGTGCCATTTTTAGAATAAAATCGCAAGAATATAGTCCCGTAAACTGGAACTACTTTATTCGTTAATTTTCATCAGTGAAGCAGGGATTTTACCTAAAAATGAGTCCCTATGTTGGCGTAGTGATATTTAAAAATCGAGACGCAAACCCTATGTTAAATATAGTGTTAAGATGAAAGTTATGGATATAGTCATTGTATGCCCTTAGCAAAACCGCATGCATGCAAAGTCCATGCAAAGTCCATGCGATTTTTCCATGCAATACCCATGCAAAACACATGCAGCAGAATTTTAACTCATTTAAAAAAACCATGCAACATCCATTCAAATCCATGCAAAGTCCATGCAACAGATCCATTCAAATCCATGCAAAGTCCATGCGACATCCATTCAAATCCATGCAAAGCACGTTAATCCACATGCATAGTCCATGCAGGCTGCGAGAAATATTGTTAATAAGTTCCATGCAATGTCCATGCAAAATTGCATGCATCTGCATGGATTTATATGAAAACCATGCAATCCACATGCAATATTGCATGGCATGGTCCATGCAACATCCATTCAAATCCATGCAAAGTCCATGCAAAATCCATTCAAATCCATGCAAAAGCCATGCGGCATCCATTCAAATCCATGCAAAGCACGTTAATCCACATGCAAAATTGAATGCATCTGCATGGGTTTTAACGAAAACCATGCAATCCACATGCAATTTTGCATGGACTTGTATGGTTCATGCTACATCCATGCATCTGCTGTTCTGCCCGTAATATACAATTCGTATACTAGTATCAACCTTACTGACAATGTCAATCAATCAAGGAGCACCTGTTTTAGATTGTGAGAGTTAATAATAGTACTGCTTCCTCTGCTGCACATTAGGTCAAGGATGCCATGTGATCAGAAGTCTTCTAAATGCAACATTTATAATAAGGCATTTAAGCTGACAAATGTCACCACCAATTTCATATGCAAATGAGCTAATTAACACTTTAATTGACACTCAGTTTACACCTTAGTATACACCCACTTTACACTTAAGTTTACATCTACTTTACATCCAGTTTGCACTTAGTTTTCACTTAAGTTTACACTCAGTTTACACTTACGTTTACACCCAGTAAATAGGTGACCAATTTCACATGCAAATGAGCTAATTTACACCTAAGTTTACACTCAGTTTACACTTTAGTATACATCCAATTTACATCAAGAGCACATTCTGATTGGTCAGATTTTAAACTTAATTTACAGTTAGTTCACATAGTTCACCTTATCCTTAATTGGCGAAATGCTAACTGCTTATCGCAGGGGGAGAGAATGCAAAGATATTCTGAATTTTGAAGCACTGTGATCAGAGAATAATATTAATGAAGATACAGGGGGTCCAAAGCATAACGAATTGCAAAAAATTACAAAAACAAAAATCCCATGTTAAATCGCCATGGGGATTTTCCTGGAATTTTCTGTCTAAGCGCTTTAAAAAGTATTTGTAGGAGTTATGCTATAGTAGTCTTGGAGCAAAAGTCCAGATAAGAGGTTCCGTGTCCTTTTTAGAGGCGAGCTAAGGGACATACATTTTTATGAAGTATACGCGATACTTATCAAGAAAAATGATGTTGGCAATTCTGGATCCGCGACGGCGTTGCTATGGTAACCAAGTAAATAAGCCACGCCCACTTTTAGGGGCTCTTTTCACTGTTTGGCCCCTATCTCCTTCATTATTGCTCTGATTTCGATGAAATCCACACCAAATGGAAGGTAATAGATAATGCAATCAAAATATATTAAGTTGGCAATTCTGAATCCGCGGCAGCGTCACTATGGTAACAACGTAAATATGCCACACCCACTTTTAGGGGCTCTGTTCAGTGTTTGGCCCATATCTTCCTCATTATTGCTCAGCTTTAGATGAAATTTGCACCAAATGAAAGGTAATCGATAAAGCAATCATACGTTTTATGAAATATGGAATTAGGGTGATTTGCATCTTAATTATGACGTCATAACTGTTTGTTCTTGCATATTTTATTTAATCATGATGTATAACTCTGTGAAATTACTGTCTTTAAAATGGTCAGTAATGCTTTCAACTAGTTTATTTCTTTTAGTTGAGTTTATTAGTTTATTTCATTCATACATTTATGGTCATAAAGAATTGAATAAATGTAATGAAAGATGTCTAATTCAAATAAAAAATGTTCAATTCACACTGTTGCTATGGTAACATCATGTAGCAAAACTGTTCGCTGTAAAGAAGAATTCTTTAGGAAGTGTTACATTTTTAGCAGTTGACTGACATGTATTATTTTTAAAATTTGATGACAAAATAATCTAATATCTACAGAAAATTATTTAATTTGGATTGTGTATATTATTATGTCATAAGGGAAATTATTAATCAGGGGTGCAGCCAGCTTTCAGTCGGGGGGGGGGGGGGGCTGGGGGCGATTGTGGCATAAGCAACCCAAAAATGTTTTTAAGATGAGTTTTACAAAAATTGATACAACTTCCTTCAAAATTGAGCTAGAAGCTTCAAGTCAAAAGCATTTTAACCCAATAATGACAACGGAATGCATTGGTATTTTTTAAATAACTTTTATGTTTTTCTAACCTGGGTAGCATAACTAAGAAAAAACTAGTTTTTGTTCTAGAGGCATCCCAAATACGGTACATAGACACAAGTGCCCATGATTTTGGGTTAAGAGGTTACGATTTCGTGGTTGTAAAACCAATTTATAATATCATAACTTTAACAAACGTGTAATTTACACTGTCATTAACTTAAACTTTGTCTGTTTGTTGTAATTCAATACTAAATAGGCAATGGTGGCATTCAGAAGCGCGGCAGTGGCCCCATATGATCCGAAAAAGCATCCCAGTGCCCCAAAGTGGCCCCCAAAAGCATTCTAGTGGCCCATGTGGCCCCCCTTAGCATACTTGCGGCTCCTATGACTCCCAGAATCATCCTAGTGGCCCCAAGGTGCCCCAAAAAGCATCCAAATAGCCCCCAGATGCCCCCCAAAAGCATCATTATGTAGTCCTCAAAAGCATCCTAGTTGTCCCCAGTGGCCCCCAAAAATAAATTAGTGCTGCTATGAGGCCCTCAAAAGTATTCTAGTACCCCTCTGTGACCCATGACATCAACCCAGTGGCCCCCTGTGGCCCCAAAACGTTGCCCTGAAAAGCATCTCAGTGGCCCCAAGTGGCCTCTAAAAGCAATCTAATGGCCCCAAACTCATTCTCGAGGCCCAAAAAGCTTCCTAGTTGCCCCCCAGTGACCCCCAAAAAGCATACTAGTGACACCCAGTGGCCCAAAAAAGCATCCAAGTGACCCAATTATGCCCCAATTATGCCCCCTAAAAGCATCCTAGTGGCCCCCGAAAGCATCCTATTGACCCCTGTGGCCCCAAAAAGCATTTCAGTGGCCTCCAAAAGCCCCCTGTGGACCTCAAAATCATTCTAGTTGCCCCCAGTGGCCCCAAAAGCTTCCCATTTCCCCCGCCAGTGGCCCCGAAAAAGCATACTAGTGACACCCAGTGGCCTAGAAAAGCATCCAAATGGCCCCACTATGCCCCCCAAAAGCATCCTAGTGGCCCCCAGAAGCATCCCATTGGCCCCCTGTGGTCCCAAAAAGCATCTCAGTGGCCCCAAGTGGCACTTCAATGGGCTCTAAAATCATTCTATTGGTCCCCAGTGGCCCAAAAAGTTCCCATTTGCCGCCCCAGTGGCCCCCTAAAAGCATACTAGTGACACCCAGTGGCCCAAAAAGCATCCAAGTGGCCCCATTATGCCCCCTAAAAGCATCCTAGTGGCCCCCGAAAGCATCCTATTGGCCCCCTGTGACCCAAAAAAGCATCTCAGTGGCCCAAGGTGGCCTCTAAAAGCACTCCAATGGGCCCCTGTGGACCCCAAAATCATTTTAGTGGGCCCCCAAAAGCATACTAGTGACACCCAGCGGCCCAAAAAAGCATCCAAGTGGTCCCACTCTGCCCCCTAAAAGCATCCTAGTGGCCCCCGAAAGCATCCTATTGGGCCCCTGTGACCCCAAAAAGCATCTCAGTGGCCCCATGTGACCTCTAAAAGCACTCCAATGGGCCCCTGTGGACCCAAAAATCATTTTTAGTTGCCCCCAAAAAGCATACCAGTGACACCCAGCGGCCCAAAACGCATCCAAGGGCCCCATTATGCCCCCTAAAAGCATCTAAGTAGCCCTTGAAACCATCCTAGTGGCCCCCTGAGGCTGCCTGAAGCATGCAAATGACTCCTCATGGCCATCAAAAGCACCCTGGTGGCCCCCTGTGACCCCTAAAAGCACCCTGGTGGCCCCAAGCATATTCCAGTGGCCCCCCGTGGCCCCCAAATGCATCCTAGTAGACCCCCGTGGTCCTCCCCAATGGCCTATGTACTGATATATCAATTTGAGGGACACTGGGCCCTTTCCTGTGATAAAATTCAAAAGATGTCTGCAAAAAACAAAATGACTTAGCTTCCATTTGATTAAAATTTCATATACACCAGAGCTATTATGATGACAAAGATAGAAGCAAAACTTTGGAAAAGTCGTGGAAAATGGGGATGGCATATTCACCTGGTTACCATAGCTAACATAGGCATAGCCAGGGGGTGTAATGAGTGCACCCCCCCCCCTGTAACCAATAAAAATAGAACCATTAGACAGAACAAGACTTTTAAAATGCATTTGACTCGAAGCTTCTAGCTCAGTTTTGAAGGAAGTTGCATCAATTTTTGTAAAATTAAACAAAATCTTTAAAAAAAATTGTGTCGAACCACCCCCCCCCCCCCCCCCCCCCCCCCCGACTGAGAGCTTGCTGCGCCCCTGATTAACAATTGCCCTTATGACATCATAATATAACACAATCCAAATTAAATAATTTTCTATAGTTGTTAGGTTATTTTTTGTCACCAAATTTTAGAAATGTCAGGCAAATGGTCAAAATGTAACATTTCCTAAAGAATTCTCTTGTTTACAGAGGACCGTTTTGCTACTTGCTGTTACCATAGCAACAGAGTGAATTGGACACTTTCATTACATTTATTCAATGTTTTATGACCATACATGTATGGATGTAATAAACTAATAATCTCAACTAAAAGAAATAAACTAATTAACTAGTTAAAAGCATTACTGACCATTTTAGAAATAATAATTTCGCAGATTTATACATCATGATTAAAATAAAATACACAAAATCAAACAGTTATGACATCATAATTAAAATGCAAATCACCCTTTTGCATATTTCATGAACTGTATGATTGCTTCATCTATTACCTTTCATTTGATGCAAATTACATCGAAATCTGAGCAATAATGACGAAGATATGGGCCAAACACCGAAAAGAGCCCCTAAAAGTGGGTGTGGCATATTTACTTTGTTACCATAGTAACGCTACCACGGATTCAGAATTGCCAACTTAATATATTTTGAGTGCGTTATCTATTACCTTCCATTTGGTGTGAATTTCATCGAAATCTGAGCAATAATGAAGGAGATAAGGGCCAAACAGTGAAAATAGCCCCTAAAAGAGGGCTTGGCTTATTTACTTGGTTACCATAGCAACGCCGTCGCGGATTCAGAATTGCCAACATCATTTTTCTTGGTAAGTATCACATATAGTTCATAAAAATATATGTCGCTTAGCTCGCCTCTAAAAAGGACACGGAATTACCTTTGCTCCCATACTATAGTACAAATATCACAGAATGATCAGCATTAAAGATCTATACTATCAGTTATCACACGTTTCAGCATGTGATACAGGAAATATTCCACGAAAGGTAATACTGTATCATCCACGAAAGCGAAGCTTGAGTGGTGATACATTGTTACCCGAGTGGAATATTTCATGTATCACATAAGCTGAAACGTGTGATGACGATTTTATCACATGTCTAGGAATTTTGAGGCATTTTGATTTGGTCAGTTATGATTGTTTTCAGTACTCTGTACTCCTGGTAACTATTATAATTTTTGATTTCGCTTTGAAACAATATGACGTCATACCGTTGTATTCGTACTTTTTGTGAAATAGTATGACGTCATATTGTTTTCCTTAGGTAGAAGTGATATAATCAGTGACGTCACATCGTCATCGTCTCTAGTAACGTGTGAGACGACCGTGTGAGACAGGAAAACTCACACGGTAATCAACCAATCAGATTACTGGAATTTTACAGAGCATGTGATAAAAGCAGTTCTGCTCAGATTTTTAAATTGAAGTTTTAAACAAAAAATGCTAAAATAATTCTGTCTTGTTAAAAGTTCAAATCCGCCATCTTGAATTATGATGTCACAATGACACTCTTTTGCATATTCAATTTTTTCAAGAAAAAACCCAATTAAATATGGGTCTATATAATTTATTGGGCCTTGCTTCCTTCTCTTGCTTCTAGGGCGAAGGGGTGTAACGTCGACACCATTTTGGGGTAACTTCGACATGTGGGGTAACTTCGACACCTTGTTGTTTATTTGCTCTAATTTCCGATCTAGGGGGAAGCCATGTTTTTTTTCTCGCATGGATTGAGATCTCGCGAGATTTTAATTTTTCCAGATATCAAACATGGCGGAAAACGGAAATTCTACTTCTAACACGTAAGTGTCGAAGTTACCCCGTCTATTATGTCGACATTACCCCACACGTCGACATTACACCCCCTTTGCCCTAGATTCTTTTACAAATAACTTTTTTATTTTCTTCATTTTTCCAAAAAGTTTCCAGTCTCCAAGGAGTTAATGAATGTATATGTCCTATGTGAAACCTATACAAATAAACTGACCAATATTGAATTACAGCCCAGGATATAATGCCATCATTAGAATGAATTCTAGGTGAAAAGATCAAAACAAAGACCAAAACAGGCGAAGCACAAAAGGTAGAAAGATTCAATGGATATATTGAAAAGAAATTTGAAGCTTAAGAAAATGGATAACTAAATGAACAATGATGATGAAACTGGAACAAATGCACAACTAATACCTAATGGTAAAGTTGACATCAAAATCAAATAAAGTAAAACTGCATCAGGGCCGATGTTATAGGATTTTGTAAAGACTTACCAAAACCAAAATGGCTAAGCCAGCTTTGATTGAAAGAGAGGCTGCATGAGCCTCGTTTTGGAATTAGGATTCAGTCTGATTCAAATTGCATGGTTCTTGCATGGATTTCAGTATTCTAGTAGTCTGTCATGAAGCCAGCCATACAGATGGCGCTGCGATTTTGCGGGAGATTTAAACACAAATATGTTTCAAGTTTTAACAAAGACATGCAAAGTAATGTTATAATTTCTGTAATTGTAGTATTTTTTAAATAATATTGATCAAAAACTGACACATTCATAACAGACAAAACACCTCCACGAAGCGAAATTGTACTATGAATAGCGTAATCTGGCGAGACCAACTTCCGGTCTAATGTCACAAAAATGTAAATAATGATCTTAAGTGCTGGTATATATTAATTGATCAGTCGTTTAATTGGCATATTTTCTTGAATTTTAACATTTAATGTCCCAAACTCCCACAAACTGCAGAAAAGTATACCCCATAAATCATATTTACCAAAATAAGTGTCTCCAAGGCTTCACACCAGCGTATGCATACTGTAATGCATTTTTCACGAGTTTGAGCTGAAATTTCGCCAAAATGAAGTAGGCTAAGGGTAGTCTCTGCCAGGTTTGTTTATTGTGGTAAGCTTGTAAGTGCTCGGAAGCAAATAATTCACGTGCGCAAAATAATCAAATAATCTAATTGGTCTAAACTTTGCTGCACATGCGCACAATGTGTGCCATGTTTTTTCTAGTGATTTCGTTTCGTTTCATGGAGTTTGCGTTTCAGTGTAACTTCCGCAAAAATGGCCGACCATGGACAGAATTAACAGGTAAAATCACTTCGAAATTTCAAGAGAACTTTTTACCTATAATTGCAAAACTTTTGTTTTATTTGTGCATTCTATCTATCAGATAAGAGTTTCAGGGGTATGTATAGGCAAATTCATTTTGGTAGGAACACTTTTTTTAGTTTGAAAACGCACCCTATATTATTATATATCAGCACTGTACATATTTTGTCTTCAAATCTTCAGAATTGATAGATAATTGAATGATGTATCACTAGTAAGGAAATCAAAGGGATTGATCGATAAAAAGTATCTGTGTAAAAAAGCATCCATTACTTTAAGGAGACAGAATTTGATGTTACATTTGGCAATTGGGCATTCAACTAGAACTATTTGAACGGAACTAATTGTTGACCAATTCTACTGGTTCGACAAGAGCACCAAAAGGAAGAATGAACTGAAGCCGGTAAGATCTAAACATACGATTATATATCATGTTATTCCATAATAACATGTTTTCTCTGGGAAAATAACAGGGAATAAAATTGATATTCAAAAAATTCCGTATCAGATCCCGTATCTGCCAAAATCTCGTATCAGATCCTGTATTGGATCCTGTATCAGCCAAAATCCCGTATCAGATCCTGTATCAGAAAATTTCATGAGATGTAATATTGTGTTATTATGGTATATTATGATCCATATTAGTATTATAAATTATTTCTATATTAAAATTTGTTAATAAAAGTTGAAAATGTCATTCGATAAATTAGATTGTATCATTTCATGCCACCATCATTATGTGATGACATAAAAAACAAGTTTCAGAAAAATATTATGGAATAAATAGGTTATTGAAGGTCATGATGGAATATGAATTTTTCTTTGAGAAAATATGATATTGGCCTCTGAAAATATCATATTTACACTCAAGCTGTCGCCCTCGGTCAATATGATATTTTCCTTGGTCAATATCATATTTTCCCTCGAAATTAAATTCATATTCCATCCCTCCCATTGAATAACCTCTATATATCATATATATCAGTTTTCCATCATACGAAATTATCCCTTGAGTATTTGGAATCTATAATAGGTAATAAATAAAAAGCCTAATAATATTTTTAACAAATATGTAGGGTTTGTAGAAAAAAACGGGTAATGGGTAGTAAATCCTCCATGCTGGGTTCAAACTTGGTACTCGGTACCCGTTCGAAAAAACCAGGTACCCAAAAAAAACGAAAAATACGAATATATAACATAATTAGATCATTAGAAACGTGTAAGATTTGTTTTGAATTCACATAAATGTATGTAACTTCCTTCAAAATTGAGCTAGAAGCTTCAAATAAAAAGCATTTTAAGGCTCTTTTCTTCATCGATCATCATGGTCATATTTTTATTGGTTATGGGGGGGGGGTGCGATCGCACCATCGAACGTCCACTGAAGTGTAAATTGTTACGTCTTACAATGTCGGAGGGGGTGCGATGGTGCGATCACACCCCACCCCATAACCAATGAAAATATGACCATGAGGACAGAGGTACCCGTTTTTTCTACAAATCCAAATATTTAATGCACCTGTGCCCAAGGGAAAGGATCAAAAATCATTGAAAAGAAACATGAAAAGAAAGATTGTCTAATACCCTCTCCCCACCATCCAAGTACCAATATCATAATCAGAGACAACAATACCAATGTATTTTAAATTGGATTGATTTCTATTACAGAAAACTGAATTTACTGATGTGACATACAGATCTTTAAAGTCATATTCATCGTGCCGCTGGCTGAGCATGGAGATATGTGTTTCACATACACTGGCCCTTTTTCCAGCTCTTCAAAGTTATTTCAGCTCAGTAGGTAAGGAAACTGTTTCGAACACACTCTTGATTCCAAATTGCATGTCTGAATTTGTC